ACATAATAATTATCTTAGATTACACAGGAAACCAAGGGAGCTAAAACAAAGCTAGACGACAAAAGGTAACACCAATAAACAGACACCACAAAAATGTACACCACCAGTGGATGCCACAAACTCTTCTCTAACTGTGTCGAATCTCAACTTAATGCCAACAACAATGCTGTCATACCACCGACAATAAATTATTAACTGAAAACCAATTCGATTCCAACCAAACTTAGCTAACTTGCAGATCATATAACAACATCAACATCAAAGGAGTGAGTAGCGACATTCCATTGCGAATTTGCGTCACGTCATAGTTTCAGAGATCCATCACCAACAACATTTGTCGGTTTCATTATAATAATAAAACAAATTTAATATAATTCGGCCTAAATAATAAGTGTAGCACAACATATTTTATTTTGATCTCGATGACGCGACACTAGCTTACAAAAATGCGTAGTAGAGCCAAAGTTCTGTGAAATCAGAGAATTATTTATTTAAATCAATTTTAAGATTTTCAGCCTGTTACATTTTAATGTTAAATAATAAATGTCAATAATAGATATAGTAGCTTAATTGTAGAAACTGAGAGATATATGAGTTTCCAAAATATTAATTACTATGTATAAAAATTTGATTATGACTACTCCAGAATGGAGTGGGGTGGGGGTTAAACTACTCAAACCCCAAATTAATATATATCTACGAATAAGACTGTGATATATATCTACGAATAAGACTGTGAATTGTTAAGGGAAAATAAAAACCTGATTTATTCTGCGGAATTTAATTAATTTAATATTTTTAAAACATAAATAACATCCCAGTAAATGTAAAATATAAATTAATTAAAAAATTGCGGAAATTTTTCCATTAATGTTTGTTTTAACATCAACAAATGTTAAGAGAACGCATCAACGCTGGTGTGCAAGGCTGCCCAACTATGATATAAATACAAGAAAACAATTATAAAAGCCTTTTTTCATTAAAGTTTATTTGGGAAATATTTTTTAATTATTTTAAAATTTATATTTTTTTTTTTCAAAAAATGTTTTAGTAACGAAACGTTTTGAACGGACTTTTTTTTAGAATTTGATAAGAAACTCCAAGTTTAGGTTTCTTTGATATTGTTGAGACGCCCCGAATTGTAATGAACCTGGTATCATTTTTTTATATTTTTATATAAACAACTAATATTTATATTTGAACCAAAATATGGGAGCATAATTCTATCCTGAGGCATGAATTCGCCACCTGTTATAGCTTATTTAATAGACCATGGTCTCTACATTTGAACAATGTTTACCTTTTTGCTACTACAATTTTGTAAACATGTGTAATCAACTTTTCTGAGACTCCATTTGCCACCTACCACAAGCTAATCGTTCAACAAACCAAGCAACCAACTATCCCAGCCATGTATCAACTCATTACAAATTTGTGTTGGTTAGCATTAACAATTGCTAACTCCCCCTCCATTGAAAGAAATGTTGTATGCACGTGTGATTATTATTGTAATAAATTTAAATAATATATGTATATTTTCCATTCATTCATTCATACTTTCATTTCCTCTTCAAAAACAGTACAACGCCATCACCAATAACAATAACATATAAAAATATATACATATGAGATTTATGGATAGGTAATAGCCATTAAGTTCTGCATTTTCTCTATGAAAAAAAAAATAATATGGTTTTACAGTCACCGGATACTGGATAAAAAATACATTTTTATTTCACATCAACTGTTTTTAGTGTCACCTGTTTTTAATTGTATTTTCATATTTATGCATATATCGTCAGAAATTCATAAACAAACTGTGCCTTCAAGTCTTATTACGCATTTCCGTAGAAGTAGCATTCAATCCGTTAGTCAGTCGATATTCTTTTCTGCTAAAAATCATATCGAAAATAGTTTCAGAAACATAAATTCTTATTATATAAAAAATGTGGTATTTTTCATGTGTAATTCTAATAATTTCAATACAAAAATCATTTCTAATTCCATTTTGAAATTATATTTTCAAATATGTTGAAAATCTTATTAAAAAGGAGAAAAAGAGTTCATCATTAAATTAACTGTATTTAAAAGTCATTTCTAATATATAATATTCGGTAGAAAAACACGTGCTCCAAAAAGATTGCGATATTTAGCAAATTTCGTTACATTTTATCATTTACCAAAACACCAATCAATTATAAATGACCTAAACATTTCGATTCGTGCAATGCAATTGCGCCAAAAACAATGACCGTTAATAGCTTGATTGATATGTATATGTCATATGGATAATTGTTTATCATAGTGTTATGTTTTATCAACATTACTTATCCTATAAAATGCAAGTTGCAAAATAAAACAAGTAAAAACGCTAAATTGTTCGGGATGCATTTTTATGCACTCTAACATGGGGAACACAACTGTACAAATATGATTTTTAAATCTCTAGATCATTTCGTTCGGAATGTAAAATTATTACACTAAACGGATAGTTGTCTTATCGATTTAGATTTTAAAGTCATATAAACTTTATTTATTTTTTTTTTTTATAAAAAACAATGTTCAATTAAATCTTATTTGAGGGCAAACAAAATAAAATTTAACTCTATAGTTGCACAAAAAGTTCGCTTGTCGTTACTTATTAAGTTTTTAAGATTCTACAAATTGTATTTTAATTTGAAATTTAATTATATTTGGACCTTCGTTACGTTTGCTTGTCTTCTTCCATCTCAGTATAAGAGTTAGTTACTTTATAGTATAAGAGAACAAATATCAAATTATATCTCTATTTGGTGGCAATTCGATGTTTTTTATTTCACAACCTAAATATGTAAACTACTGAGCATAGTCTCCCCACTTTATACACAAGCATATTTTGTTTTATTTTCGTTTCTTTGTTTCAATTAACCTTGTTCTTACCAAATTGGTCCGTATAACAAAAGTTGGCTACAAAGCAAATGAATAGAAGATAACAATTGGATACATGTGTTGACAAGCAATGCCACAACTTTCTGGAGAGACTCAGCATTGAGCAGAGCTGAGTGTGGAGGTAAAACGAAACAATTGGTTTCAAATTTTCTATTCCATAAGTCGAGCAAATTAACCAAACAGCCAAACAACAACTCACCTCCACTATTGACCAAACAACAGCCAAAACAGTTTGTGCTCTATGAGTGAGAAGTGATCGTTGGTAGATTGATTGTCTGTGTGGTGTTTAAAACTTTTGCTAACAAAGCAAACATCTCCAAGTTCAAAACTAAAAACACACACACATATATATTATTGAGAAAGAATACAAAAATAAACCGCAAACATTAAAACTCTCTGAGCTAACTTAACTATACCATGAGAAGGACCGACTGACTGACAAACTGACGCTTGGATAGACTAACATACAGACCAGCCAACCATAATTTTGGGTAAAAGCATTTTATTGCTTTTTCCTCTGCTTCTTCGTCGTCTTCTTTGGCTAAGTCTTCTCAATGCTCTGGAGTTATATTGTCTGAACTTTGCTACAATTTTCGATCTATCTATCTATACAGCACCGTGTGTGTCTTTTGGCTTTTTAGTTGTTCGTCTCGAACAATGCGAATCAGTTAAACAATGCTATTTTATACAGAAGGTTTCCGTAAAGGTTTACGTTTGGACAGCGGTGGTGGAGCTGATGCTAACGGCAACGATGATGGTGGTGGCGGTCACGAAGTTCAAATGGTACTCGAAACGAAAAAAAAAAACTTAATTTACGGTTATAAATATATATTTGTGTTGCTATTATGTGTAGATATGTCTGCAGATATTCAATTGGATTTAAGCAAAAATATTGTGAAGTGATCATTAAAAATTAAATCGAAAAAAGTGAAAATATTAATAAATTTTAAATCATCTAACGTTTGAAAACGGGAGATACGAATATTAGTAGTTATAGATTAAAAATTCCACGATATAATATATTTCTTAACGTGTTTCACATTTTTATAACAACAATGACAAATTGCTTATTATTGAAATCTTATAAAAATAGTGTTTTATAGAATGAACTAAATATTTATAAATTTTTGATGATATATATTTTGTTCGCTAACATCTTACACGCCATTTGTAAATCGTTATTATATTTTGGTCAACGAGGATATTTATAGATAATATTATATTTTCCTATTTGGATTAATACGGCCCAAGGACATCTGTGGATATATCTCGAAATATTGTCCCTTTGAGTTTATAACTATTGACAATTTTTCTGGATTACCTACTTTTTTATTTATTATTCAAAACAAAGGAGTATTTTAGAAAGTGATTTTTTTAATTCAAATTAAGGAAATTCAAACGATTCAATAAGAAGGAAATATTTCCAAACTTAATCGTATGTATTTTACAAAAACTGGTCATAAGCAATTTCAACAGAGGATACAATGCAAATTAAATGAATTTTCCTAAACAAAAACTTTACGAATTTTTAATGTCATTTCATATAAGGAAGTCAAATAAACTTTATGATTTCATTTTGTACATAATTTAAGTTCAAGCTAAGACTTCCCATTCCACTTCTTCATTTTATTTTGAATTCATAAATTCTGAGTTGAGTTTCATTCATAACTAGTGCAGAACGAAAAAAAGTTGTTAGTTCATATTTTTTGCTGATTTTTTTGTTTTGTTTTATTTCTGTTATTTTTCTATCCGAAGAGTGGTTTTACATTTTCATAAATCAAAGCGAAAGGAAACTTTACTGCGCCAAAGAAAACCTGTATAATCCGTCTAGTTACATAGACATAGTATGTAACACAATGGAGTTGTGTTACATACGTACATACAAACAAAACAAATGAATTTGGTTATTGTAGCTATTTCTTTTCCATATCTTTGTAGTTGTAATTTTGTTTCAGGTTTGATGTATGTTAGTGTTATTTAAAATGTAATTTGCTTAACCATCTAGCCAAGCGAGCAAACGGTAACTAATTTCGCTTTTTCCTCCCTTCTTTCCTACGTTTTCTTCTTTGTAGACCGCTCAACATGGATTTCCACACAAGCCATCGGCAATGGCCTATGACCCCATATCCAAATTAATGGCCATTGGTACACAAACTGGAGCTATAAAAGTATTTGGCCAACCTGGTGTAGAGTTTTATGGACAGCACGCATTGGTCAACAATCTGGGCTCAGAATTAAATGTTCAACTGATTGAATGGGTATACGGAACGGGTCGTCTGTTGTCGTTGACTGCTGCGAATCAACTGATTTTGTGGGAACCAGCTGGTGCTACTCTGGTAGCTGTTAAAACCTTACCATTCGATGGCAAACTAAAGAAAGTGTCATCCCTATGCTGCTCCTTGGGTAAAGACGTCGTTTGGATTGGTACTGAGAACGGTGATGTGTATCAGTTCGATTTACAAACATTTGCGTTACGTGAACCGGTAATTTATCATGATGTTGTACTGGAGCAAGTACCTTCCACATATAAATTAAATCCTGGTGCAATTGAGTCTATTCGCCAACTGCCGAATGACCACAACAAACTATTGATTGCCTACAACAGAGGGCTATGTGTTTTATGGGATTTAGAAACGTCATCGGTTGTAAGGGCTTACATTGCCCCTGGCCATGGACAAAGTGTTGGCCTTTTCGTCGATTCCACAGGATCGCAATTTACTTGGTATCATGCTGATGGCTCATTTGCCACCTGGAACATTGGCAGTGGCGATCCACCTAAAAATGTTAACTATGTGCCTTATGGACCCGACCCATGTAAAAGTATTAACCGTTTGTACAAAGGCAAGAGGGGGTAAGTAGACAAACTTAATGTTCATAAATATTTTTGTTATTTAATACAAAATACGTTTGCCTACATCTTCCTTCATAGATCAAGCGAAATGTCCATTTTCTCCGGTGGTATGCCACGTTCGGCATACGGGGATCATCATTGCGTCTCTGTACATGATTCAGATGGCAATAAAATATGTTTGGATTTTACATCCAAAGTCATTGACTTCTTTGTAACGTTTGCCGAAGACTCTCCTGACTCAGCGGAGGTGTTGATTGTTTTACTTGAAGAAGAATTGTGTGCCTATGATTTGACAGATCCAAAGATTCCACCCATAAAAGCTCCTTATTTACACTCTGTTCATACTTCAGCTGTTACCTGCAATTACTTGGCTTCTCAAGTAAGCCACGAAGTATACGAGAAAATTGTCAAAGCTGGAGAAGAGCAGGATAAACATTATAGTAACATGGAATGGCCGATAAAAGGAGGCGAATTGGCAGAGGCCGACGACGACGAGAGTGGCGATGAAGGTGAAAAGTTTTATGAAATTCTGCTGACGGGCCATGAGGACGGCTCTGTGAAATTTTGGGATTGTACAGGAGTAGTGTTGAAACCTATATACAACTTTAAGACCGCATTATTATTTGGGTAAACTATACGAAGAGTGTATAAACGATTGTATACCAAATAAAAACTATTGAAATATTTACAATTGCAGACATGAAAATCAAGATGATTTGCCAGCTGCCGAGAGTTCTGAAATAATTGATGAAGGTGATCCTCCATTCCGCAAGGCTGGCCTTTTCGATCCGTATTCCGATGATCCACGTTTAGCTGTAAAGAAAGTTGCCTTGTGTCCCAAAACAGGACGCTTGATTGTTGGTGGAACAGCTGGCCAAATTGTTATTGCCCACTTTGAAAGTGATGAATCTAAGAAAACCCCCCTACAGGTTAGCTACATGAATTTGGTCAGTGATCGTGACGGCTTTGTATGGAAGGGTCATGACCAATTGAATGTACGCGAAAATTTACTTGCGTCGGATGCCGAACCGGTAGGGGACGAAGGTGTTCATATTACGGGTGTTTTACAAGTATCACCACCGGCCAGCATAACCTGCTTAGCCTTGGAAGCTAATTGGGGTTTAGTAGCAGGCGGTACTGCCCACGGTTTGGTATTGTTTGATTTTAAGAATTTCCTTCCCGTATTCAATCGTTGCACGTTAAATCCAAATGGTAGGGAATTTGTATTTCAAAATTTTTCCTTTTTCGTAATACTATTTATAATTGATTCAATACAGATCTCACTGGAGCTGGTGAGCAGTTGCCGCGTCGCAAATCATTTAAGAAATCGTTGCGTGAATCTTTCCGTAAACTGCGTAAAGGCAGATCTACCCGCAACAATCCTTCAAATCAAGTACCAACAACTGTAAGTTGCAATAAATATTTATTTTTACAATGATATCAATTCGATACAAATATCACCACGTTGCGAATTAATATTTTGAAATTATACGTGAAGGTAACTGATTAGTTTTAATTTTAATAAATTATTTTCGTCAATAGCTGGAAGCTCGTCCTGTAGAACGTCAAGTAGAAGCACGTTCCACCAGTGATGACGGCATGGGCTCTATGGTGCGTTGTCTGCTTTTTGCAAAGACTTACATAACAAATGGTATGTCGCATAATGGTCTTCATTTGAAACGCCACCACTGTCAATCTAAAACTGAACTTGTATTTATTTTTTTTTTGTAGTAAACATAACATCGCCTACACTGTGGTCGGCTACCAATTCCAGTACAATCTCAGTATTCTTGTTACATTTACCGCCGGCACAAACTGCTGCCACATCGGTCCCACCTACAGGCGTTGATGCTAATGCTTCGGCACCGCTGCCACAAACACGTCGGGTATCGGCCCAAATTGCAAAAGAAATACAACTTAAACATCGTGCTCCCGTGGTGGGCATTACAGTATTCGATGCATCTGGCTGTCCTGTAGATCAGTTGGGTGGTGGCAATGGAACTGCTCCCCATCGTGTTCTAATTGCTTCCGAAGAACAGTTTAAAATATTTTCACTGCCGCAATTAAAGCCAATCAATAAATACAAATTAACTGCCAATGAAGGTGCTCGTGTTCGTCGTATACAGTTGGCTTCGTTCTCATGCCGTGTCCCCGCCGAATATTTGCAAGGCGCCCAATCTGGTAGTTCCCCAACAAAGTCCACACGTTCTCAGGATCAAAATGAGGGTGGAGCCAACGCCAGCATGACATCGGCCAGCAATTTGGAAAATTATCATGAAATGGCGTTGGTTTGTTTGACTAATTTGGGTGATTTAATGGTATTATCGGTGCCTGAATTGAAAAGACAACTGAATGCAGCCGCTGTAAGAAGAGAAGATATAAAGTAAGTTCATGAGTCCAGATGAGCTCTATATTGAACGTCTTATGTATTTTAACTGATTGAAACTTCTTTTTAGTGGAATTTCCTCACTTTGCTTTACCAATTATGGCGAAGCATTGTATATGATGTCCTCTTCCGAGATACAACGCATTGCTTTGGGTACGTCTAAGGCGGTGACACCACAAGGTACCATTGCTGTCGACCAACTACAAATAAATGAATCAGTGCAAAATGATGATAAGGAATCTGTAAAGGAAGAGTATGAATCGAATGCAGCCTCCTCTCCAACTCATGCACCGGCTGCTGCTAAACGTACCGCCGCTGCCACTAGTATTACAACAACCACCACTTCCAGCAAAACAGTTGGAGTTGAACATTCCGGCGGATTAACAAATGGCATTGGTGAAGGTAATTCACCAAATAAAGCCAATGAAACCATTAGCAGTTCAATTGGCGATATAACTGTAGATTCTGTTAGAGACCATTTGAATGCCACAACAACCACTTTGTGTTCCACAACAACAGAGGAAACAGTTGGTAAGTAAATACGTCTTTGGGCTGAATTGATGTGTGTTCTGTTATGTCTATTTTGTTGTAATATGTTTAATATTGTATTTGTTATTTATCGTTGTGTGTGGGTAGAAATGGTATGTCGCTGTTCTTTGGTTAGCACTAACAAAGTAGTTCATATTTTGTTTAACATATTTATGACATATGCTAATAAATATATAACATTAACATTGAAACTTGTTTGCCATAAAAGCCAATTATCTAACAAAATCATCACATCATTATGGACATTTTTCATCGGAAACAAATAAAAAGTTCGACATACGTTAGAATGCGATGGATACAATACAAAATTTATGTTATTATGTTTATATCTTATTTGTTGACGTTATTTCAGATTTGAATGTTTTCTGACTTGAAAACCACACAAAATTATAACTGAATTACAACGGCTTGATACATATAAGTTTATGTATTGAGTTTTTTGTATAGACACAGTTGAAACAAAATGTCCTGGCAGATGTGTTAAAAATACGTGGAATATAAGTACGTGTGATAGGGAATAGTTGTAAATGTATGCATTTTCTTTGTACTGGAACGTACAAACCACAATCACGTTACTGCACTCCATTGCGTCCATCCTAGATATCTGGCAGAGACAGTTCTTTATACAGTGGTAAAATACAGGCAATATGTTTATAACTATATTTAATTTCTATTATTTGTTCCATGTAAAAATAACGATTTTATCACTAAAACCGCAATAAAACATAATTTTATTTAGAAAAACAGGAAATTGAAATAGGGATAATATTTCCTTAAAAGACGCCTTTCCATTCCGCCATAAATGCATTAAAATTACTTTATTATTCCTCTCAGATTTTGCAATTCCACTTTTATGCTGCTTCCAGTGATTAGAGCACATTCTATGTGTTTTCCTCCACGCGTAACGACAGTAGTCAACGCCGCGGTGATCCTCGTTTGTCAAGATAGAGAATAGCTTTTATTGCGTGTACTACAGATAATACATTTTATTTATGTATGTGTTTTAAACGTGGTTAATACATTCTTCATATTCCACAAAAAGCTACTGTAAATGTGTTTTGTATAAATTGTTTTCTACCTAGTGAAAAGAAAAGAAAAAGCAACAAGAATAATTTCACATTAGATCATTAAATTTCACTAATATTTTACATACCTCAGGCTCATATCATCATTAGCATTAGCATTTCGGTTTGTGTTCATTTTTAATGTTACCTTATATTTTCTTTACTGATATGCTTAACGTTTGCTTTACAGGCGGAACAAGATGAATGATTTGATTATGTTTGGTTGTATATTGACATATTTACATACATACTCTCCTCTGCATGCACATTAATCTATAGAGTTTTTAAGTTCTTTTACTTTTCATTAATAATATAATTAAGGTAAATGGTTAATTTAGCTTATGGGCTTGTGAGATAAATGTTAAAAATTGAAATTCACCTAAACATACATTTGATTTATTGTCTTCTGCTAGGACGTTTGTCTGTCATGAGCACTCAAACAAATCAGACATTAACGAGTGTGAATATGAAGGATATACCCGATATAAATATACCCAATTTAATGGATTTGGCACCCCTGAGGTAGGTTGAGTATTATCCAAACGAGTTGTATTCGAATACATAATCCAATTTATTTTTTAGCAATACCACCGAAACCAGCACCAGTTCTGTGGTAATCAAATCTGTAATAACAAGTATTTCTCACGAGAAGACAAATGGAGAATCCGAAACGATAACTACGAAAACAACAACACACGAAGAAAGCCAATTCTAGATTACAAAATAAAAAATGCTGCTTCATCACCCCATATATCAACACCACCACTACATTGCAGAGTAATCAAGCATCTTTATGAGAATGAAAATTAAGTACACCATGCATGTATTTACACCCTGTATTTTTTATGTTATCCTCGTTTTTCTTAGTTTTAATAGTTTTTCTTTCTTCCTGTTTACTGTCTACCGTAATTTAGTTATTTTAAGTTATACATCTTTGACTATCTATCCTTAATCATTCACTAGATCATATCAATCCTGCGATTTGGGATCCTTTGCTTCCTCTCAATGGATATACAAGTATGTCTAAAAATTCGTAAATGTTTAAATATTCAAATTAATATATTCGATTTGAAATACATAGTATTAAAAATACCGTTATAAAATTGTTGACCACAAAATATCATTTGAACTTTTTATATACAAACAAACATACATAAATACCATCGTTTTTTTAGTATTTAAATTTATCTTAACTATAAATAAAATCGATTTATACAATCATTTTTAAACGGAAACTAAATGCCAAGTCATTCCTATTGTTGAGCTAATTTCAATCGATAAACTCAAGACTTTCCAGGTTTAAAAAACCACTTGACAATTGTTTGTTGACCCGATATTTCAAACGCGATATAACACTCATCATATTAACACAGTCCCAGAAATATTGCTACAGTTTTTGATTTGGCAATACGGCTATAAAATTCGATGAATCCTTTCATAGCAGTATAAAACCCAAAATTTTAATACATTCGTAAATATCACTTAGGAACTGACATTTGTTGGGATGTAGTGTTATTCATTCGATACCTCAAATTGGTGTATTTGATGTTGAATGAAACATAAAAGTAAAAATCAAAAGCATTTATTATCATATACGATAATTTTATAAAATACGACAACACAAAGTACAACTCCGTAATGAATTGCCTTAAAATTAAAAAAACGAAAATCTGTTTTGATTCGATACACTTTGTTTCCATTTTTTGCATTTTTCTGTTTTCTTACACTGAAGTCTCATGAACCGTTTGTTTTCCACGTTTTATCGGTACTACTTTTTCATGTGTTATTTTATACATACTACATTAATTTTCCGATTTATTTTTTACATGTTTTCAATATTAATTATAAAAAAATACATATATAGAAATTGAAATAAGACGTCACATCAAAATTTTTTATAATTATATGTGGAATACTATTTTTGGACTTTTTTTATGTATTTAAAATAATATTTTTTAATATTTATAATAAAAAGAATATTTTAATAAAAACCTATTTTTGTCGTTTTATTTTTATAATCCAAATCTATATATGCAGTTGCGAACATTCGATAATTTGGAAGCGTTAAAAACTGTCGACCAAATGTTTTATTTGAGCCCCCCTCTTTTGAAATCGAAGACATTTAAATGCAGTTTACTATACACGCCAAAATGCTCATAGATCATCGGTATTAGTGGTATTGTTCCGTTTGTAGATATTGGTAGTCAGTAGTGTATAAAACTCATGTTTTTTTTGGAAAAAATCATATTTATTAGTTTTAAATATGAAATTTTTGGAGGTTATCTTTAAATTTCTAATAGTTATAATTCTCATTATAATTACCAGTTTCTCTCTGGCTTTCCTTTTCATTGCAACATCGATCATATAGGTCATCCCGAAAGAGAAATTAATAAAAACTTAATCTTATTTTCAATGTGTTCTTGAGATTATTGAAGTCATCACGACGACTAGTTACAGAAATAAAAATGTCATTTTCATCTGTTTACCTCAGAAGAAAAAAGGTCGTGGGGAAAAAGTATGGTACTGAATTTTCCATCCCTGGCTGGTACACACGTCTCCTGTACCGTTTACTACATAACGAGTCACAAACGTAACCCTTTGAAAATTTGAAATTTTACAGGAGAAGTTTTTTTTAATAAATTCAATAATGCTATTATTTTGAAATTTAGAACAATAGTTTTGTTATAAACTAGTTTTGTTTTAAACTATAGTTCTAAATTTCAAAATAATAGCTTTATTAAATCAGAATTAATAAAACAAACTTCTCCTGTAAATTTCAAATTTGAGCGTTACGTTTTTTTTGGCGAATATGACTCGATGTATCCAGTGCAAGATTAAGATATTTCTCTACATTTATCTTTGGAAATTACAATTCTCAAAGTTTGCGAGAATACAGAAACAATGTGTCTGATGGCTATGAACTAAAAAAAAACAGGATTTTACTAAGTTTTTTAATTATAAAATCATAATTATAGTAATTTTCAATAACCAATTTTAAAATATAAAATACATTAGGTATGTTCGATTAATTTTCCAGTAAAATGTACACATTAAGTATTGTCCATGTAAAAATAGGTTTGGTTTTCAGTAAAAAATATTTATTTAGATTATTGAACGAACATCTGAAAGCAATTGACATTTGACAACAAAACAAAAATTTGAAAATCCCTACGGAGTAACAATAGGTGTGTCTGGTTACTTTTCCAGTAACATTTATTCAATAAGTTCTAGTTTAGAGAGTAAGCCTTTTTTACTCTATTTTTGATAATACTGAGATTTAGCAAATAAACAGCTGATTCAAGAAAACATTTGATTTGCGCCAAAATAAACAAACAAAGGACAAACACAATTATTTGTATTACATTTAATATTAAAAATAAAATGAACAATAAAAGAAAATTTGATTTGGTATGTTCCCCGGGAACATTTAAGCTTCCCGCATCAATACATTGCCCTCTATCAGGAACTTGCCTAAAAATATATAATGAATTAGTTTCTAATTTAATGAAACTTTGAATTACTTAAGAATTTTCTGTAATTTTTATACAACTTAGCTTCAAATTGAACTTTGCAAATAAAATGAATGTTTTGAATAATTTTTGTGTTTGGTCATAAAACAGCTGATCTCAAAATGGCCTAGTTTGCAAAATCTTACTGAATAAAATTCTTTCAGTAAACTCCAGTATGTTTGTTGTTGTTGAACTGTCAAACTTGCTCTCTCACTTGACCCTCTTTTACTAGATTTATGGGTAAACAGACAACATTTAGTAACATTTGGTAACAATTGTTACAAAATATCGAGTAAACAGAATCGATCAAACAATTTCATATTTATGCTCGTTTAAAGGATGACATTTCGCAGTAAAAAAAACATTATTTTGCCGTTTTTTGTTTGGTGCATTCAGTTGTGAGTTACAGGGTATTAATAATGGAAGTAAACAAAGAGAAAATTCGGTACATTTTACAGATTTTCTTTGACAAAGGCGAAAAAGCAAGGTGCATATTGGCCAAAATCGACCCATTTCGAAGCATGTTAAATAAAGTCCTATAGTTCATATTAAAATAATGGATTTCTTTTAAATTATTTCATCTTATTAGTGTATTAGAAGATGAATCCGAAGAACACATTAATATACCCAATTTAACCGCAAATAAATTTTGGATAAAAAAATTGATTGTGGTACATTTTGGAAAATACGATCTGCATGGCTCGGAATGTTTTAAATTCAAACTGAAAACTATTTAAAAAAAAATAAAAGTCGGCTTGGAATGTTTTTTAATCCAAAAATCGAAAAATTCAAACTTCAAAAAATAAAAGTCGTTACATTATCCAACCCTCCAATCAGTATCCGACAATCTGGCAACATTTTGTATCTGACGAATTTGTAATCTCACCAATGGTGAGCATAGCTTCTTCAGCCACCATTCTTCAACACGTTCAGTTAACTCTCAGACGCTGGTCGTGTACGTTGAGTTCGCGCATAGACACTGTTCGTTCCGATCTTCGGTGTTATTTAAAACGAAGTAAATATTCGGTTACAAAAAAAAAAATAAATAAATAAATAAATAAATAAAAGCAAGAATGCAAAAACAAAAAGAATGAAAAAGAGCATTTTATTTTGACGAAATGTGCGTGTAAAAGGCGGATGAAGAAAAATATTGAGAAGGAGCTGAAATAGTGTGGTGAACAAGATCCTAACAGCAAAACAAAACAAAAACTACGAAGAACAGCTACGACGGTCAATGCAAAAAAAATTCAAACTGAAAACATAACGAGCAAAATTGCGGCGGCGACAGCAACGACCGAGATGTTGCTGAATTAAAGTAGTTAAAGCAAAGAAAAAAATCCAATAGGTACACACCATACCATCATTCCAGGCATAATACCATAAACAGAGAAAGAAGTATCTATAAGATACTGATACCGACCAGCAAACAAACAACAAAACAAGAAACGTTTTGCAAAAAAGCAGACTCGAAGGAAGAACAAATGAATATTTAATAAAAACAAAAAATAGCAATAAAAAAGTTTGACGGGATTGTTGAAAGTCGTTCAAGCGTTTATTTCAAACGACGCTGCCGCGCAGGGTGCAAATTCTATCCAAACAGAACGCCAGAACAGCCACCATTTACAACAAAATTGCCATTACAACAAAAACAAACATCATCGATGATCTTGAAGATCGTTCTTTGTTGTTGTTGTGTTGATCGGGTAAATGCGTAGTGCGCAGCCTTTCGTGAGTATCGAATGTGTGTGTTCGGAGGAGGGGCATTGTGTACAATTAAAACAAATTCCACATGAATTAAAAGTGCGTTTCATTTACATTTGGCGTTTAGTCAATACGGTGTGTCAATCATTAGATTTGCGTAAATGCTGAGTCCATGAACGAATGTGGTAAACATATATTATAAAACATACATACGTGAATGTTAGTGCGGGTGTTGAAAGTGTTTCCTCAGTTCGAATGTTTATGTGTGTCAAATAGTTCGCGGGGGATAAGCGAAAAAGTTGATCTTGTTTGTGGAATTCAATCGCACTTGAAACCAAAATATTTTATTTGTTTGTTTAGTTCCACAACGCGACAAAAGAAACCTTGAAAAAAAAAAACGAAAAACGCCTCCTTTCTTCTACATAGCCACTGTGAACAGGACTATATTCGAACCAGCCGCATATTGTACGTGCCAAGCTAGTTTAGCACGAATTGTACGAGGAGAGTAAGGAGCACGGTAGAAGCCACAGACATTACAAGTTACTTGTTACACAAGAAGTCAAAAGAAGGA